GTGTGTGTGTGTGTGTGTGTGTGTGTGTGTGTGTGTGTGTGTGTGTGAGAGACAGGTCCGTGAATTGGAATCGTGCCCGTCTATCTTCCTCTCAGAACTCAAGTATATCTTTTGGCACTGAAGGCTCCTGATTGGGCGCAGTGTGCGGTCATTTCTTCCACCAGAGTTGTAGGCTTCACCATTACTTTAAATCTTTCCTTTTAAGCTCCTTCTGAAGGGGTCTGGAGTTGAGGACTGATACCGTTGTGCTTGCTTTAACACTGACTTAGATGCTTATCATCGTGTGTGTGCGTGGACGCGGCATTGCTTTTTAGGCTTTTTACTGTTTAGCCTGGAGTCTCTATCCCTGTCTCCACTTGTTTTTTTTCAGTGTTCAATGGAAATTTAAACACAGTGACAATCTTAACAGATTCTGGCAAATGGTCATGGGAGACACACACACACACACACACACACACACACACAAGCTCGCCACATGCAGGGTAGCACGTCATGAGATCTTGTTTACATAAACTGTCTGGCTACCCTTTTGTGTGAGTCTTTGTATATGTGTGTGCGAGGTTACTCAATTTCTGGCTTCTGTTATTTAAACACACACATTCAAACACACACGGGTGATGTCAGTCGTGCGAAATCAATACCAGTGCACATTCAGTGGTCTGACCCATTTGGCTGCAGCTGTAATGGCCGGGTTGCAGTCCAGGGTCTGGGAGAGAGGCCAGGGCATCGGACAAGCCAAAAAACACACCCACTCTGTGTGTGTGTGTGTGTGTGTGTGTGTGTGTGTGTGTGTGTGTGTGTGAGAGAGAGAGAGATAGTGTCTGTGAAATTCAAAGTAGCAGTCTTATTTGTTGAGGGAAGCCTTTTTTAATCCAGGCTATTTCAGAAACATTTAACAGATGATAGAGACAGATAAAGACAAAGAGGCAACGAGAAACCCCGGCGAGGCACGTTTGTTTGTTTTTAAATGCCAAAATGAAACTATTTATCAGAGTCAAAAGCTGTAAAAACAGACATTATCAAACCCAAGTTGAAGCCTTAAGTTATATTATATTATAAAATCACTTTTTTCTACATATTCTACATGTTCTACATACACATCCCACATGTGTCATTTTATGTGTCATAACCAGTAAATTCTCTGCTGGCCAAAAGTCACGTGACAAAAACTGAAACTTCGACTGCTTAACACAGAGCAGACGGGAGAGGACAAGATATGTTGTAAATATGTCAATAGCACGTGGAGCCTCATTTTTTGTTCAGTATTGGCAACACGTTGGATAGATACTTTCCATTGTTTATCCATTTTTTTGTCAAAGAAATTATCAAAGAAAATTACCTTGCACTTTTTTTCTTTCATCTTTTTCACAATTTATAGCATTTCATGCTGCACACAAGACATTTGAGTTGTGTTCCATAGATGTGCAGGACTTATTATATATTGACATGTACTGCAGTGACAAACTGTAACAAGTGAATTAGTATTGTTTGCCACCTCGCCTACAAGTTTGATAACTTTTGAGCAAGAACTAACCTTTTCAGTGGACTTGACAGATTGCTGAATGTGGTTTTAACATAATTGGTTAATAACAGATATTTGTATCCTTTGCCAACGTTCTGCTGATTTATAGCAATATAAATTGATAGACTCGCTTACTGGTGATTATTATCATCGCGTCCAACGATTTGTCTCCTTCGCTGAAACTCTGAACAAACTTTTCCACTGCTGTTCTCTCCTTCAGCCACAAGCTGCATTGGCCTGTTTCTAACTTTTGATGTTTTTCTTGTTTTCTTTCAAACCTTTAACTTGTAATAGAAGACCCCACACCATGCTCTATCTGTGTGTGTGTGTGTGTGTGCGTGTGTGTGTGTGTGTTATTAAGTGTTTTTACTGATTCACTCTTCTTGTCAAACTGGTGCACTCATGCAAACCGGAACAACTCAAGGTGAAGTGTGTGTGTGTGTGTGTGTGTGTGTGTGTGTGTGTGTGTGTGTGTG